AAGGCGCTGTACAGTTTCGACAGGCTGGACGAACGTGGAATACGGAATTTGATCGCTTTTTACAGGCGAAAGAGCATAATCATGGACATGTGAAGCCGTGTAAATACGTACGTTGAAAGGATGGAGACGCTTGTCTGTCCCTGATGTATATTGACGATTTACCGGCAGCAGCAAAAGTATTAAAGCTGAATGATGATCAATTAAATTTGCTAAATAAAAGGTATGGCATCAAGGATCACGGGCAAGCGACGCAATCTAATTGGTGTCAAGATCGATCGCAGTGAATCAAGCTAAAATTACGATAGACACGGTAAACACGTGAAGTACTTGAGCGGTTTGGATATGTAGAAGCACGCAAAGTCAGTAACATAGTGGATAGCACCACGCGACTTGAACAAGAAGGACCGAAGGAAAATTCCGAAACGGTGTCATTTCCGTATTGATAGGAAGTGCGCGCATTCACGTAATTGGCCACGTCAACGCGACCGGACATCTCGTTCGCAGTTGGAGTGCTCAGTAGGTTTGCAAATTAACCCTGCAGAAAAAGTGTTGGAGCAGTGAAGCAATTTTTTCACTTTTTGGCAAGCACGTTACCATTCCGTTCGAATTACTAGCGTCAAGGTGAAAGCGCAAGCCAAATTGTTGTTAGAGAATTTAGTGGCAGTGATTGGGGTAGTGGTGCAGACACGAGACTCAGTGTGACCCACGTCGTGTTTTTGATTGCGGGGGGCGCAGTTTCATGGCTCTCACTGCTACAGAATGTCGTTGCACTGAGATCGGCAGGAGCGGAGTATATTACAACGTGCTAGGCAAATATGGAAGCTGAATCACTTTGCAACATAATTGAAGAAACAGTAAGCGTAATGAACAAGAGCACGCAGTGGAGATCGGCGTCACAACTTGATCGCGACGACGCTGGTGATAGATTTGCTGTACAGCCGTCGGACACGATACATTGAACTACGCTGGCCATATGTGCGTGAGGAAGTGAAAAAGAAGCAAATCTGTTCTCAGAATGTCAAGACAGGTGGCAACACTGCGGAATTGTTCACGAAAAAGACCAATGCAGGAAGGATGTAGCATTCAATGCAATTCATCGGACTTACAAGTTGGAGCCAGGAATTCATTGGGAGTGCTAAAGAATCGACAGGTTTTGATCTCATGTATCAACTGCGCTCAAAGGGTGATTGCGAGTCAAAAGGGGCGTGTTGTATTTTTATGCGCAGCGACAGGTGCCAGAGCTTAGTAGGTAGTCGGCGACAGGATCCGTGTGACGACCGTTTGAGATTGTCCCAGAAGTATGTGTAGTAGAGAAGCTATGAGGCATGTATAGTTCTGCGAGAATTAGCAGTGCAAAAAGAGTAGGCGAGAGAGAAGGTATGTGTAAAAATGTCAGCTGCGGAAGCACAATCTTGCAACCATCTATTGAGTCGACTATTCAGCACCGAGTTAACCATGTCATATCGAGACCTCGTCACCTGAACGTTGTGAACACCTCCAACTAGGTGCCTGGCCAGCGAGAATGCACATTTTAACATAAGTAGGTGATAAAGAAGCAATGCGACCTTTGAGATTAGATTGGCATCAACATAAGATTGGCATCAACATAAAGAGTTGTGACGTTTCATTCGAACAACCCGAAATGTGATGATTTCAGTATTAATTCGTAGCATAAAAATTGGTTGAATATAATTAGGGTAATGGTTTTTTCGCGATAACCTGGTGGGTGAAAGCGGTCTTTAAACAAATTTGTGAAGACGAAGAAGTGTAATTAAGGCTAAAGAAGAAAATTGATATATTCTCACCCCTTTTCTTATATCATTCTCCCTGACAAACTTGATATTACCATTCTTTTTGCCGAACCTAAAATTTGCACCGTTTTCTTAAAAAAATGTATCACACCCCTCCTTCTCGTGCTCTTTCCCTACGTGAGAAATCGGAAGTTTTATGTTTTATATTCCACACGGTCATTTCCCACCCTTTCTATGATTATAAAGCTTGCTGTACAGGAGTGCATTTTTGAGGGCCATGTAAGATTGATTTTGTAATAATGCATATGGCACAATATAAAGGAGCTTTTCAAAGTATGTGTTTGCCTTTTCGTGTAATATTGAAAAGAGAGGTACTGAAGAGATAAAAAATGTCATGACCGAGTATTGCCATGCACCTTACTGGTTCATATTACATACATTATACATAATTCTGAAGAATTAAGCTTCTGTACCATAATTTTTGTACTGTTTGGCCATAAGTGTTATGGATACTCTTCTCTTCTCGACTTCTGTTATTTCTGTCTGGTCCTCTTCCGCCATGCCTACCGGCAGTATATATCAATTTAACGTGAATAAGCTATCGGAATTCACGATTTGGATGTACAAAGTCGCTGCAAATGTATTGCTGCTTTTATTGCACCGTTGCACATTATCGTGCTCAGATAGGACATCTTTAGCGGCAGGACGGGCAGAAAATTGAATGATCGCGATTTCTATTGACTCCGTATTAAAAGATTGGAGAAAGGTGTAGGTGTGCATTACATAGCAGACAAGCTCATTACGTATCTTCGATGGTTGGGTGTTCTATTTTCGGGTGAAAAAGAGCACTATCAAGAAGGCAGGCAGCTTGTAAGATGCAACCGCGTGATATGTAAGCTGTCGTTCTCTAAAATGTGTCAGACCATCCTGAAACACGACGAATGGTCAGTCATAAAGCAGCATCGTGTTTCTGATGAACCGAATCTAAAATACAAAAATATCAAAGTTGCCCAAAACTGTATACGGCTGGATGAAAGATCCTGAAATAAGTATTTATATTTTTACATCTTATATCATTTGCGTAATGGGTAATGAAGCGAGAAATTAAATAACAAACATGAAGAAAAAAGATATTAGAGTGTAAACATCGTCTTAAACACTAATGGTATGAACTATAGAAAAAAGGGTGTGAATATATCTACTAGTTCTCCATTTTAAAATCTCAATTTCAAGCTGCAATTCGAATTCAAGATAGGCTATTCAGAAATCCATGCACAAACAGCTAGTTTGCTATTTATGCAGCTGTCGAAATCATCCCCTACACAATTGGATGCTTAACTCTTCGAAAAATTGACATCAGCGAAAAAACTTATAAATGAGGGATGAAATTCAAGTGGTCTTGTCTCGACTTGTGGCTTATGGAAATATGTGCAAACAACATCAGCCGAAATAGCACGAAATGAGCTTTATTTTGAGGAATATTCGGTAAAATGTCTGTACAAATAATCATATTTCTTGCTTTTTTTTGAAAAAAAGGGACTAGCATGTTATAAGAGATGGAGTTTTTAGATCCGGATAATTTTGTGAAAACCAAAACACGTGCATGAAAACGTAAAAATGATGGGAACCGTTATTTTTCCTCGGTTTTCTAGTATACCTCTCCTCAGTTTGATACAGCCCTACATGGACGGCTAATCTATAGACATGCCTTGAGGGTATTAAATCACTATTACTGGTTTATACACATCTATCTGACCTAATTTGGTATATTGCGCAATCGTTTCTTATGTGTTCTTATGCGCAAGATTCTGTCAGGCTTTGCCTGATACGTTTGTGAGCTCGAAGCTTTTAGTCCGCAGGTGCTCTCTTTCACTCATTATATTTTGAAGATCGAAGGCTCCACACAGCAAGCAATCATCACGCTTGCACCAATATGTTTTTGCGCCAGTGAGTGGTAAGAGTACTTTTTTCTGTATCATTCATTTTGAAGCAAGTTCGTATCGTTTGTGTCGCATGCACGCGACGCATGCTATAATTATTTGCCCCGTTCCTTACTGTTTTGATATCTATTTTCTGTGCTGTTCCGGATCTGTGATGTGCAGTACTAAACCGCATTAGATTGTGCGGGAGGACAAAATGTGGTCGTGCACACGGAGCTTTTGACAAGCTCGCACGCGTAGCCAGAACGTATACCCCTGTTATTGCGAAGTTGTCTAGGCACTGTAACAAGTGTGTTACTGCCTTACAATAATCCAGTAGATGGTGCTGATAATGAAGCCATGGAAACTGCTTGCTCGCGTAAGTAAGGGTCTATCTAGGTAGCACACGAGTGACAGTGTCTACAAAGTTAATAGACACGTACTGAGGAATGCAGTCAACGTTATTTTGATTTATAAATTGGTTCCGTTAAATTTTGTAGGTGTTGGTTCAATTACAGTTTCCCATAGTTGTGCACTGTGACCCACCCTCATACAACGGCCGCATCATCTTCACAGATTTTAACAAAGCTACTGCATCAGTGAAGCTGATCGTTGCTTGCTCTGGTTCGATATGATGAATTTACACTCACTCACGTACTAGCTCACATATTGTAATTAAAACGACATCGCCTACTGTGGCTGGAACGCCGACAATGAGGTCCACCACACGACATTTTCGCGCAGAAAGGTTCAATTGAATATAATTATGACAAAACTAACTTTTAGAATTTAACTGATAGTGATGTCGTTCCCTATAATCGTGACTCCTAATTAGCCAATCACGTAGCACTATATCAAAACTGAAAGGATTTTACCAGAAAACTGAGAGGTGATCATCGGGTCCCATAAATAATACGCAAACATGAGAAGCGACATAATTTGAATTGTGGTACGAATCGCAGAACAAGTGCGGTAGAAATACCGATTGCCGACAATATTTACAAAGATAGACTTGGGTGGATGCAATGTTGTAGGTACAATTCAGGATTCCGTCGTTGAGGCTGTCTCATACATGCCCGAGAACCACAGCGGCGCATACAACTCAACTGCTCATTTGCAAACCTTCATAAGCATTATTCACTCGTTTACAAGAAATTAACATGTGAATAAAATACTCGTCTACTGTTTCAGCTTCATAATTCCATTTGCAGGTAGATTCACATATCGAGGAGGTGGCTCGATCGATGCCCTTCAATCCGAAGGTTCAGACAGACGACTAGCTTTTAAATCTCAGTCACTCAATCTATCTCGTGAACGAAAAATGTGCTCCTTAGGTCATGTAGTGTCTGCGTTCAAAGCGGCATCGGCACCACCGGGCCGAAGGTCTGACCATCTCATCTCGCGTGCTGCATGCGAGGTCTTCCTCGGCACTCTCACGCACTCTACCCGAGTAACATTCAACCCGAAGCCGCAGAAGGAGACCAGAGATTGCCAGATCACATTGTAGACCATTGGTCCGATCGACTTCGTACCTAGAGACGCAGAAGTAACATACCATAACCTCCCACCCAGAGATCCCCACTTTTTCAAAACGAAATGAAGGACGAGAGATACGGAGAAGAACTTCCAAACTTACCGTCGCTGTGTTAGTGCCAATTTTGCACCCATTTTCCTGCCAAGACCGACACATTTACCGAAACCGACTCGTTCACTGAGACCGACACATTTACCAAGACCGACGCATTTACCAAGACCGACTCGTTTACTGAGACCGTCACATGTACCAAGACCGACACATTTACTGAGACCGACTCTGGGACCGATTTATTTACTGACACCGATGTATTTACGCTTCTATGATTAGGAGGTCTTCTTATGCGCTCGGCCACTCTGTCACGACAAATTCTAGAGGTGACGCGAAGACCTTCTGTTGGAGACGCTGGCACAAGGGACAGATAAGAAGTAAGATGGCAAGAATAAGGTAATTCTACTGGCACGGTTGACGATGTTTACCACGAAACAGGTGTCGTCTTGTCCAGATTTGTATGCTAAATTTTGTATGAATGATGCTGAAGTGGAATTCGCCAAGCGTTTCACTCGATACAACGCGGACATCCTTCCCAGCTTAAACACGACATGTCGGTATCGCAAGCTTCTAGTCTTATCGCTTGCAACCGCACACTGGTGAAACGACTCGAACACACCGACCACGTCCGAAGCTACCTCGCTTCTTTTCAATGATAGGATCGTCATGACTTCGTCAGTCTGCTTGCGTTTTCATGAAACGCGCTTGTGGTACGATTCTAGCAGCTAGATTCTCGAACATGGGAGGAGTGACTGTTCAAAGCAACGGTAATCCATCTTGTCTGCTATATCTGTATGAAGTCCCGACCATCTGACGTGTGACTGTTGCAAGAAACACGAACTCATCTATCCCTCTGGAGAAAGCTAGTTATCATTTGTACGTCCACCAGTTACCACCTGTGCAATACGCTCGTGTCGGCTGATCTCTGGCACTTTGACTGCAGTCTTGGTGAAGATGCACGGGTCTGCGAAAAGGAGACGTACTGTTTCGAGCTCATTTCCAAATCTTCTCGTTTGAGATCCATTTGAACATCTCTTGTCTCCAAGAACCACAACTGCAGCAATGTTCACAAGCAGCAAATTTGCCGCTGTGTGCCTCACTGTCACGGCGCTCTTCAACGACGTAAACGCTGAGGCGGAGGTCGTTCAGACGTTTGGACTGCTTGGTTCTGGATACAGAGCTCCTAGTCATGCGGGACCATACGGAGCTCCTAGTAATGCAGGACCTTACGGAGCTTCTAGTGGTGGGGTCTATGGTGGAGTCTATGGTGGAGTTGTCGCCAGTGTAAGACCGACCGGGCGTAGTGCTGGTCATGATGGACTTGGAGTTGAGAACCTCGGACGGGGTACAGGCGTTGGTAACGCATACGGCGGCACAAGTTCCGGTGGGGTGTTTGGGGGTTGCGGCGTGACCAACAACGTGTACGGTGGAGTCGGCGGAGCAGTCCGACCTGGTGTTGGAGCCACAAACGGTTCTGGAAGGCCTGTGAGTGGCGCCCCCAGTGGACCCGTTGGTGCCGGTGCCATTGTAAACACCGGTCCTTACGGTGGTGTTGGTGAAATCACCCGTCCAGAGGCCGGAAAGCCAGCGAACGGAGGTGCAAGCGGAAATGTTGCTGGTGCCACTGATGACAAGAAGAACGACAACGTGTATGGCGGGGTCAGTGGCGCCACCGATACAGGTGCAGCTGTCACGAAGGGTGCCGGAAAGCCCGTGAGTGACGGCAAGGACGTACCTGCTGTGGTTGCTGGTGACAAGAATGCGGTTCCTGTTGTTGCGGCTAGTGGAGCTGCCGTTCCAGAGGCAGGAAAGCCAGCGAACGGAGGCGCGAGCGGAAACGTTGCTGGTGCCACTGATGACAAGAAGAACACCAACGTGTATGGCGTGGTCAGTGGCGCCACTGATACAGGTGCAGCTGTCACGAAGGGTGCTGAAAAGCCCGTGAGTGACGGCAAGGACGTACCTGCTGTGGTTGCTGGTGACAAGAATGCGGTTCCTGTTGTTGCGGCCAGTGGAGCTGCCGTTCCAGAGGCAGGAAAGCTCGTGAACGGAGGTACGAGCGGAAATGTTGCTGGTGCCACTGATGACAAGAAGAACGACAACGTGTATGGCGGGGTCAGTGGCGCCACTGATACAGGTGCAGCTGTCACGAAGGGTGCCGGAAAGCCCGTGAGTGACGGCAAGGACGTACCTGCTGTGGTTGCTGGTGACAAGAACGCGGTTCCTGTTGTTGCAGCTGGTGTAGCTGCCGTTCCAGAGGCAGGAAAGCTAGTGAACGGAGGTACGAGCGGAAATGTTGCTGGTGCCACTGATGACAAGAAGAACGACAACGTGTATGGCGGGGTCAGTGGCGCCGCTGATTCGGGTGCAGTTGTCACGAAAGGTGCCGGAAAGCCCACCACGGATGGGAAAGATCGCGGCATCGTGGCCGGCGCTGATGGGAAGCCGTGCACTGATGGAGCCGGAGGAGCAATCGGGTCTGCATTGAAACCTACTCCGATGGTGAATGGGAACACAATCTCAGCCAAGCCGCTCAAGAGTGGTGATAAAGTGATTTCGAAACCCACGACCGCCAGCCCGTACAATGGTCGCGTCGGAGGTGTGACGCAACGGGCGTACCGCAAGCTTCGATCGTTGTAAACGGGATGAAGTTAATATTCGGTTGCTTGCATAGCGACGATATTCACTCAGCTCCATCCCTGTTGACAGCTCCTTTTGCCACACTCTTCATGTGAGAATTAAATCATCGCAATTATCACGCCGTTGTAGTCGCGCACATGCGAGCTCTTTCTTTATTCAGTTACACTTGGAGGACAAACATCCGACCGAAGACCGACATTGAATGCAGAAAACGTTTTGCTCTCCCGTCATAGCTAGATCCAAATATCTCTTAGCGACGACCACTGCCTGGTCTCATCAACGTGGTTCATCACTTCGTGACGCAATGCAGTCAAAGTGGCTTCGTTGATCAAAAGTTTGTATCAATGCCGCCCACGTCCCGGTAGCTGCTTGCTGCAAACGTGCGCTGACTCGCGACGATTACAACAGTTCGGGCTGACTCTCGATGGCTCCTCAGGTTTTTGTGCAAACGTATATAGACGTATGTTGACGATGGTCTTTTCACCTACAAGAAACAAGAAACAACAAGTGCAAACTCCGCTCGTGGTCTCAGAGCCGCGTGCGAGACCTACAGGCTTGCACCCCTCAGCACCCGAGTGTCGTAGATTAGACCTTTTCGTAAGGGAGCGGAGTAAAGCTTCCGTCGTATCAGCTCTCGATTGATGCATACAAGATTCGCTTACCAGATTGTAACAATGTCGTCGACCAAATCGGTCAGGCTCGTCATAATTAGCGCTAGACGATGCCAGCCTGGTCATTCCAGGTTCTGTGGTGACGACCATGTTCGGTCGTTCAAACCATCAAACATTGGTCGTTTGAACACAGGCCATTCGCAGCGCAATCAATACGCCTTTCGATGCAACGACGAGGCACCGAAGCACAGCTGAACATCTCGGATCGCACATTCCACAGTTTATATCGCTTCGAAGACGCATCTCGACACGCCCTTTGCAGTAATTAAGTGGCAGTCGAATTCAGATTGCAATGGACGATAACGTGGACGCGACAAGTCTTCACACGCGGACGTCAGTCATCCACAAAGTGGGAATGACACTGCGCCACACTACGATTGCTGCATCGATCTTTGTGCAATGCAAACTGAAACGAGATTACACGAACGGTTGTGATAACCAGGTACGCTGGTAGGATGTATTCATTAAAGATCAGTTTCACTGATAGGCGTATTTTTGAATCACATACGCGAAGTGGTAATAGCGTACCTTATCGATTGCGGATAGATGGTCTCTATTGGAATTGGGTCTTCAAAGGACGACGTAATTCTGGTGGGATACAAAAGAAGCACTACGATGAGGACTATTCGATCAGGTGGCATCGTTTAAAGGTTAAATGCGTAAGTGAGGTTTACTGTTGCTCTAATTTAGTAAATACATCAGTTCCCCTTTTGATCTATTTTTGATACGTGTCTTTTTAAGACGTCTTTGATCACAAGAGTTAAAACCCTGGGTTAAGGCTAAGTACTCTTAAGCATTAGTGCTACGTGATTTCTTGTAGTCATTAGTCCCCTGAACCAAGACTAGAAGCTTACGAGCTTGTTCAGATACTAAGAGTAAAGTCTCACCAAGTCTGTAAAGACTTGAGACCCTTAAGTTAATACCCGGTTAGCTTAAAACACCAAGAGACTCTACGAGTCTATAAGTCTTCCTCTGACAAAGGAGCAAAGGTAGCTACGCCACACAAACACTGTACATTCTCAACAACTAGTTTGTTGCTACTCTCGGTTGTAGTGTACGAGCTGTGTCGACTCAACGGTGCACCACATTCAGCTATTAGTGCTAGTGCGGTTGGTGCGGGTATCGTCTCAGCGAGCATGACCTTAAACGGTGGGGCGTTATGCCTGTGCGTAAAACATAAAACGTTGCGACGTTCTGCCTTCGTGTAGAGTATGAAATGACACCGGATAGCTTGATATGTGAACAGGCACGATGCCATTGAACGCGCGGCTTACTGTGTAACCGGATCTGCAACTTTTGAACCGATCGTACCACAAAATGACCGACTTTGTCCACTTGATCGGGCTTATAACTTACTTGTGAAAACGGACGAAGCTTTTGATGTGGTCTGCTACCGCATCAAAGTCTTCGCTAACAATCGTCTAGGTGTCTTATGACAAGTGTTAATCGAATAGTACTACACAGAAGACAGCACGCGAGCTTTACGCTTGTCTTCGACGCGAACTTCACCAAGGTTGAGTAAAGCGTTATGTAAGGCTACAACAATAGTGAAAAGATGTATATTTGTGGCGTTGTGGGATCGGTCTCCCTAGATATCGATGAAAGTCGAGCAAGCAACAGTTGGCATTTTCATGTTGATCCATTCACAGTGGAAACAAGATATCCAGTATAGATTAGGGCGACAAGTCCATAGTTGCCGAGGCGGCTTGGCAGCTCCAGGTCGTGGTCATCGACTTGCTCTTGAACAGCGCCACTGGATCCATCCTCCACCG